GCTTGTCCGATGTTGATGACCTCGAGGTTACGCTGGCAAGAAGAACCGGGGTCGTTGGTGCCAAGAACGGGATTGCCGCCAGTACAAGTTTCTGATGCCTCAATCGGCCCGTTGATCGGGTTAATGGTGACCACAGAGTCGGGCTCGCAGTAAAATTGGATGCCTATCATGGCTCGAGCCTTCCTCAAATAGTTCAGAATTTGCTCGTAACCAACGGAGCATGTAGACTCTACAATTTGGACACCTACAGCTTTCAAGTCGTAGATCATGCCATCCAGCGCAAAGCATCTTTCGCACTCACGGTCGTCTTGGCTGAGGAAGCTTGCTCCTTCACCAGAGACTGCAGCGGCCTGTGATATCATAGTTGGCACGAGACGAATGTCGAGTGGGGCTCCACGATAAGATATCTTAAGCAGTGTGCGGTCGGAAGCACCTTCACCACAGGTTATGACATATGCGAGCAGCGTCGATAAGAATGCGGAGCGTTGGAACATTGATCTATCGAATGGGACTCCTGAGAATCAATTACTCATCCCACGAATTACGATGTTTTCAATCACATGAATCTGATATCCAACTTGAAGCTTGTGCGAACTTATGCGTGTCGCACAGTGGGTCATGGAATATACACGCAGCGCATGCCACGTGCCAAGCATGGGATTGGATGCTCAACCACTACCGACCTATCCTCTCGGACGTGTATTGGGATACGCCGGTGGCATTGTGTGGCTTGACTGTATCACTCTCCACTCTGAAGGCCTCCTCATCAAGTGGACTCTAGCATTGACTTTATTCATGGATTTCCTCGTACTTTGGTCGCTGTGGACTCGGGACAGCGGTAGCATGATATGCGGTCGTTCTCGCAATATCGGCGATCCCAATGTGCTTCCTATGTAATAAATGTGCAATCAATCCAACCATATACTCCTGCGAGGCTGGATCCATATTTACTCCTATCGTCGTGATCGTGATATTATTAACTAGACCGCTTCATTCTCAACATTGTTGCACATTCTACATTCCTGTGCGCCGCTGCCTCTCGTATGGCTTGCGCACATGGATTCACGTGTATCTCTAAGAACACTTGCTCGACCCAGGGGCGTTTTCTGTGAACCAGTGATCGTCCGAGCTTCACTCAAGTTGACAGTCATCGTGACTTGTGTTAGAGCGGTTGCCAACTCGATATACAAATGATTGGGAGCGCGTTACTTGCCGATATGAAACAACTCGAATATATCCGAGTGTTTATGTACACATTTCCAAGGCTAATTCCGCTCCCAGTGAGATAAACTTAACCGGGCGGGGCGGCTATGCCAATCCAAGATATCCTCAGCAAGATCAAACCCTCCCGAGGGGCGGCTATGCCAATCCAAGAGATCCTCAGCAAGATCAAATCCTCCCGAGGGGCGGCTATGCCAATCCAAGATATCCTCAGCAAGATCAAACCCTCCCGAGGGGCGGCTATGCCAATCCAAGAGATCCTCAGCAAGATCAAATCCTCCCGAGGGGCGGCTATGCCAATCCAAGATATCCTCAGCAAGATCAAATCCTCCCGAGGGGCGGCTATGCCAATCCAAGATATCCTCAATAAGATCAGATCCTCCCGAGGGGCGGCTATGCCAATCCAAAGATATCCTCAGTGAGATCAAATCCTCCCTGGGAGGGGCGGCTATGCCAATCCAATACACCCCTCCACATATTCTTAGCATACCCGGGTTTTCGACTCGTGTACAGCCACCACAACGAGTATCATCTTGCGGCTCAGGGAGGCATGTACTTATGCTTTACCTGATATGACCTCCAAGTTTCAGAGCCTTACTCTTCGTAGTTAGTGAGAAGTCAAAGACCGGTAAAAAGTTCTGTCCACATATTCTCAGCATACACGTGTTAAAATTGCGCCTCAAAATACCAACTTTTACTGGGGGAGTATATTTATAACTCCGCTCCTGATCTAATGCTATACATCAACAGAAAGAGAATCGTTCATAATGGTATCCCTCCATGTTTCACTCTCATAAAACGACACATAATTTTCCTAGTTAAGGTGGGATGAGGAACAAGGTGCGTATATAGTAAGAATTAAGATGGGGCCTCCTAGAGGAGGCATCCCGATTAGTGATAGGCGTTGGCATAGTTATTGTTGCTCAGATGATCTGAGTCAGATCA